CATTGCAGACGGACATGTATTTCGCAATGCCTCTTGCATCAATGCCTGCAGGGAGGTCGAGGGCCGAAGCCTGGCCAGTTGCAGGGTCCACCACCAAAATCTTCTCAGCATTATACGGCACTGCCACTGCCTTGCCGTTCACGTTGCAGACGGACCTGTATTTCCATTCCCTACTTGCATCAATGCCTGCAGGGAGGTCGAGGGTCGAAGCCTGGCCCGTTGCAGGGTCCACCACCAAAATCTTCTTAGCATGATTCGGCACTGCCACTGCCTTGCCATTCACATTGCAGACGGACATGTATTTCGCATTGCCTCTTGCATCAATGCCTGCAGGGAGGTCGAGGGCCGAAGCCTGGCCAGTTGCAGGGTCCACCACCAAAATCTTCTCAGCATAAGACGGCACTGCCACTGCCTTGCCATTCACATTGCAGACGGACCTGTATTTCGCAATGCCTCTTGCATCANNTCAATGCCTGCAGGGAGGTCGAGGGCTGTAGCTTTTCCTGCTGGCTGAATTTGTTGCCCCATGGCGCCCACTGATGGTTCCCAGCTCCACTTCGGGAGTTTCTTGGGAATCGGACCTTCTCTCCGGTCAGGGCTTCTTTAATTAGTGGTTACAGCTTCGAAGTTGCAGCTTTGAGATTCTGAAACAGAGATGTGGTCCGGATCCTTTGCACAGCTAGAGCCTGCGTCCGCGGTGCTCGAGCCTCAGGACGCTACGACAGTGCAACATGCATCGAAAAGGTCTTCGGCCCGTGCTCCAAACTTTTCTTTTGCAGGATTGACACTTGGGAGTGGATCGCAGACTTAAGATTTTGAGCTCGGAGGCAAAGAACGAAACAGTGTTGGTGGGTAGGGTTATGGGGCTTCGAGGTTTAAGGCTTAAGTCTTAAGCCTGATATGTAGACAAGCTCGGGCAGAGGGCTGGCCAAGCGAAGTTGATCCGAAAAGTGACCTTCCTCCTACTTTTCAACCCACGAAGCTGAAGTCCGACCCCTCGAAAAACCCTAAACCCACCGACACAAATAGTTCTGAGCATTCCGAAAGCCCAAACTCTAAGACTCTAAGCTTTCATCGCAAAAGAGCCACACGAAGCAATTTTCTAAAACCAAAATATCAAGCCCTCCGCCCCCCCCCCCCCTCCCCCCGGCGCACCTGAGCCAGGGGGAGGTGCTTCAACAAAGTACAAGGATCGGCTGCGGATGCCTCCAGGTGCTTTCGAAAGGAGGGTTTTCGATTTGAGGTTAAGAATTCTTGAGGTCCAGGGTTTCTGAATTCACTGGCTCAGATCTTCAAATTGTAGGGTTTGGGGCTGACGAGCTCATGCATGTGAGCGCTGAGATTCAACCAGGCTAAGGCTTTCACGGCCTAGGGTTGAGGGGCTTCGGCTTCCAGGTTTGAGGCTTGAGGGGTTTGGGTTGTTGCGGTTGACGCTTGGGGCTTTGGGTCTCAGGGTTGAAGATAAGGGCTCTAGGGTTTTAGGGTTTCTGGTTGATGCTTCAGGGTTTCAGGACGTTGTAATTACGAGTCAAGGTGGCTTAGATGTCCTGGGCTCCGGGCTTTGGGCTCCATGCGACCTGGGGAACCTTGCTTGGGAGGCCTAGTCAATACTGGGAGCCCAGAAAAGCACCGAAAAGGACGCCCTTGCAAAGAACGTCTTACATGATACTTTAACCCGAAAAGACTCAACCCAAAACTCCAAAAAGCTCAAAACCATAAACCCTGAACCCTAAAACCCTAAACCCTAAACCCCTAAACCCTAAACCCCTAAACCCGAAATCCCTGAAACCCAAAACCCTGAAACCCTAACCCGTGAGCCGTCTCGGCAGTCTTTGCCCTGCCTGGCGCAGCTTCGCAGCCTGTCCTGGGATGAAGTTGGGTTTAGGGTTTAGGGTTTAGGATTCAACTCTGATTCAGCAAAGTGCCGGTTCCCATGGGGCCCTTCGGCGCCTGTGATTTTCCGGGGAGCGGGGGAAGGGTTTTTTTTTCTAATCTCTTGGTTTGGGTATTGGGCTAACTCTGCGACGTTTGCTATGAATGTGTAGGGATCTCTGTTCCGGTTGTTCCAATTTTGAGGCGCCAAACAGGACAAAAGCATACATAAGCATTTTGAAGAGATGTTCCTACCTTGTTGGAAGAATACGAGGTGCTATATATGCATACAGTACAAGCTATTGGGGACACACTGTAAGGCGCTTGTACATTAGATTATGCCCACAGTTACAGGGGCTATTCGGGAATAGCATAAGCCATGAGCCCCTAACCCCGAAACCCTACAATCCCAAACTAAACCCTAGACCCTAAACCCTAGACTCCCAACCCC